TAGGTGAGTTGAGTTAATTATTATAGGTAAGCTAGGGCCCTGAGAGTAATTTAATCGTAGGTAGGTGACTACTATTCTTGCGACTTTTTACTAGTTTTTTGTGATGTGTTTGTTGTTTGTATTTGCTTCATACCACACACACACACACACACACACACACACACACACACCACACACACACACCACACACACACACACAAAACAAACTAAATTTTATTCTCGTCGTCGCCTTAAATTTTACCTTTTTGAACAATCTTTTTAATAATGTCTATTTATTTATTTATTAAATGTTGACTGGTTTCTACTTTTTTTTTATTTTGGTTATATAATTTTTGGTATTTCCTGATTTACTTTGTATACATGCATGTATAAATAATTACTGTTTGGTATGTTGATTTAGTCATTATGATATGCTGTGAACTGTTTTTTATTAAATGTTCATGTTACGTGAATTATTCTCAGAACTTTTTTAAATTTTAATTTTCCGTCATTTTTTATTGGTATCAAATAAAAGCAACTGTTGTGTTTTTCTTCCATTACTAAAATCTCGAAATTGATTGTTGTCAAAATTGACTAGCTGACTGACTGACTGAATTTTTTTAAATTTTAATTTTCCGTCATTTTTCATTTTTGATTGGTATCAAATAAAAGCAACTGTTGTGTTTTTTTTTCTTACTAAAACCTCGAAATTGTTTGTTGTCGAGATTGACTGACTGACTGGACTGACTGGACTGACTGACTGACTGACTGGACTGACTGACTGACTGACTGGACTGACTGACTGACTGACTGACTGGACTGACTGACTGACTGACTGACTGACTGACTGACTGACTGACTGACTGACTGACTGACTGACTGACTGACTGACTGACTGACTGACTGACTGACTGACTGACTGACTGACTGACTGACTGACTGACTGACTGACTGACTGACTGACTGACTGACTGACTGACTGACTGACTGACTGACTGACTGACTGACTGACTGACTGACTGACTGACTGACTGACTGACTGACTGACTGACTGACTGACTGATGGTGATGGACTAACTAGTAATGTATTAAGAGAAGGAACCGACCTAGACATTTAAGAAACTTTAATTTCATTTCAATGGCGATTTCGATGATGATGATCTTATAAACTTATTTTCCGAATTCATGCTGCAAATAAGGCCATATTTCGATTCCGAATGAATCATCGTCAGTGCTCTCTGTTGTTTAGTTTAATAAATTTATTTTGAATTTTAATAAATAAGTTTATTTTGAATTTTAATAAATAAGTTTATTTTGAGTTTTAATAAATAAGTTTATTTTGAATTTTAATAAATAAGTTTATTTTGAATTTTAATAAACTAAACGTTCACCAAAAAACTTTAGTGAGAAAAATCGAACTACAAACATATTAACGCCAAACATTCGGTAGAATTTATAGAATATTGTAAAAATTATGGTCTATTACCAACAAATATATATATATATATATATACATATATATATATTATATATCTGTATATATATATGTGTGTTTTAATTAATTGGTGGCCTATAAAGTTCATCCATGTTAAACTTGCTTGGTCTCCAAGCCAGAATGTTATTCTAACTTTCTTTTTGTTTGTGTTATGTTCTGGTAAATAAAAAGTATTTTTGATTGATTGATTGATTGATACATACTAGAACTCTATCGAGAGTTTTCTACCAACTCCAGAGAATACGACCAACCAGACGTTTTTTGACAGTTGTGTCAACGACTGCCCTGGGATGGGAAAGAGAAAATTTCGGTTTCATCCTCAAAAATCTGGAACTCACTAGCTGCAGATTTGAAGAAATTCAACCACATGAGCCAACATGTTTTTAAGAAACGTTTGAAACATCATTTGTTTTTGACATTCTTAAGTGGAACTGGCGCTTTTGAAGTTTCACAATAGGAGCGTTTCACAAATCCTTTGATACAGATACGATACAGATATACATATTTATATATTATCTATATTAATTTTTATTTCTAACTATTCATTCAAACTATATTCACACGCACAGACACACTCACACACGCACACACATAAACTCACACGCACATACGAAACTTCAAAAAGCAAAATTTTTTAGCGTCATTTCTTCCAATAAATATTCTGATTACTTTAAAGACGCAACAACTTGCATCAGTTATCCACAGTTCATCTTTTCATGTTCGTTTTAATTAACGAAGTGAGTTTGCAATTAATTAATGCATTCATTCATTCATTCATTCACTCATTCATTCACTCACTCATTCACTCACGCACTCATTCATTCATTCTTTTATAAATTCTTTAGATGATGTTACATCTTAATAAGTATGTTTTTTTTATAAGATTTGCGTTTACAAAATTGAATATTCCATCTAACTTACTACATTTAAATCAAATTTTATAACTAAATAACAATAAATAAACCTGATTCAATATATCTCAATCAAGTTAACATTTACTTAATAGAAAAAACTGTTCAAAGTTGTATTACAGTATATCTTGCAACACTGATATGATATGTAGTCAAAGTTATAGATGTTGTCAATTATTTTATTTATTTATTTGAAAAAACACAAAAAAGTAAATAACTTGTAACAGTGCCTTAACTAAAAATAACATTATCAACAGAAAGTAACTAAAAATGCAATTGGTAGTAACAATTATTGATTATAATAGATATACATACACATACATACATACATACATACATACATACATGCCTGAATTTCTACAATATACTCAATAAAACTCTTGCACATACGCACCTCTGCAGTGGCAGAAACAAAAATATAAAAAAGCATGGGTATCTGATGAAATAATAAAATTATCAAAAAAACAGAATCATCTGTATAAAATAGCAGTCGCTGCACCAAACTCCGCTAATGTTGAAAAATATAAAAAGTTTAGAAATTATTTTACATCTGTAAAGAGAAAGGCAGAAAAAAATTATTTTCAACAAAAATTTGAAGAGGCAAAGAGTTGCTCCAAACAAAAATGGGAAATAATAAACGGTATAATGAATAGAGAACAAAACAAACTTGAAATTAATAAGCTAAAAGTTGACGACAAAATCATCGAAGACCCAGAGGAAATAAGTATTCTTTTCAATGAATACTTCATCAATGTCACAGAGAAGCTGTTAGAAAATCAAATAGTTACTGAAGATAAATTAAAAATAAATAGTGCAATCTGTAAATCAATGTATATGAACTCCACCAATGAATAAGAAGTAATGTACATTGTTCAAAACTTAAGCAACAAAAAAAGCACGTCAGATGATACTTTAAGTCACAATCTACTTAAAAAAATCATCCCAGAAATTGTCATCCCAATCACTCATATTTACAATTTTTCCATCGTCCAAGGAATATTTCCACAATGCTTCAAAACATCCAGAGTAGTTCCAATTCACAAAAAGGGGAGCAAATTAGAGACAAGTAATTATCGACCAATATCTCTACTTTCTCCACTTTCCAAAGTACTAGAAAAAATAATTTTTGTCAGAGTCACCTCATTTCTGTCCATAAATAAATTATTAAATGATAATCAATATGGCTACAGAGCACAGCATTCAACTGAGCAAGTTGTGCTGCAATTAGCACAAAATGTTATGAATAATCTTAACGAAAAGATACTGACTGTAGGTGTATTCATAGACCTCTCAAAGGCCTTTGACGTCATCAACCACGATATACTGATTAAAAAATTAAATTGACATGGAATAAGAGGAAAAATAAGTGCATGGTTCAAAAGTTATTTAGAGAACAGAGACCAGTATGTGGCAATAAAAAGTCACTCCTCAACAAAACTTAACGTAAGATCAGGCGTGCCACAAGGATCAATTTTAGGTCCTCTTCTATTCATAATCTTCATGAACGATTTTCAACATGCAACTGATGCAAATCACCTTCTATATGCAGATGACACTAACATCTTCTTCCCAACTAAAGACCCATTGAAAGAAGAATACATCAATAACAGTCTTCAAAATATATCAACCTGGTTTATCAAAAATAAATTAATAGTAAATTATTCTAAATGTAATTACATTATTTTTGGTCCGAAAATTTTAACAAATATTATACCTAACCTAGACATAAAAATGAACAATATTTCTATTCCTCGCTCAACCAGCACAAAATTCCTTGGAGTAACAATCAAGGACAATCTTTCTTGGGATATTCACATAGATACTATGTCTAAAAGAATATGCAAAACCCTAGGAGTTATAAGCAAAATTAAAAATAAATTAAATAAACCTACTCTAATTGACCTGTATTATTCGTTAATCTTTCCTCACCTCATCTACTGCAACGTAATTTGGGGAAACAGTCCTGACATTCATCTAAAACAGTTAACAAAATGCCAAAACCGATTCATCAGAATATTTAAAATCTTCATCCTCATTGTCACACAAGTGAATATTATCTCGAGATGAAAATACTCAACATCAAAAACTTGTTCATCTACCACGTTGCAACATTCATTTTTAGATTTCTACGTCAGCAATTGCCGGCATTTTTTAGAAACTTTTTCACTTTTGGAACTTCCATTCAAGCAAGAACTACACGCCACACGCCACACGCCACTTTTCTATGCTCCACCAGCCAGAATTAAAGTACTCTGCATGAGTTTGAAACACACCGGCCCAGGAATATGGGAGACGATTCCACAAGAAATTAAAGATTGTAACACTTTGCATCTTTTTAAAAATAAACTGAAAAATTTTTTAATTACGAAAAGTTCTGTTTTTCAAGGATATTAATGTATATGTATATATATATATGTATATAAGTGTGTACATATTTCATTAACATTGATACATTTTCTCCTATTGACAATTTTATTTTATCATTGAGAAGCAATTTTGAGCTGCACGGTGGCCGAGCCCACAAGAATTAATTTTCTTTTTTGGCCTCCGAATCATTCATGCTTTTGTTTTGTTTGATTGAATAAAAGTGATTTGATTTGATGATTTGATTTGATACATACATACATACATACATACATACATACATACATACATACATACATACATACATACATACATACATACATACATACATACATACATACATACATACATACATACATACATACATACATACATACATACATACATACATACATACATACATACATACATACATGTATATAAACAAATTAGCATATTCACATATAAACAGAGACGAAAAAATAACTAAAAATTCAATCGGTAGTAACAAATTATTGATAATAATAAATATATATACACATACATATATTTGCTCAAAAAATCCACATAAATGTTTAGAATTTGGTCTTCTTCCTAATTTTACATACACATATGCACCTAGAAGTCGTGTTTACTACCCGTAACTTAGCAAACACTTTTAACCTTTGACAAATTCTGGATTTTACAGCAACCTACCTGAATATTACGCACATTTTATTATTATTGTTTTTATTATATATTACTTAATGAAAACCCTCAAAAAGATTTTAATTAAATGTCTCTCTCTCTCTCTTTCTCTCCTTTTCATGTTATTAGTGTTTTTGTTTATAGCTTCAACTTCAAGTTTTTTCATCATCATTGAATTTTAATGAGGTTCTTCATTGCCATTCGTCTATCAGCACTATCACAATGTATTCATACCCGTTGTATGTTAACTAATGATTTCCGACACAGTCGCAGCTAAAACCCTGACAACCCTGTTTGAATGTGACAAGATTTCCGCCTATCACATGCTTCATGTGTATGCGTCGTTTAGCACGTATTCATTTACGACGTTTGTGCGCTCTGTTGAATCATCTGTACTTTGTTTCCTTCAAAAACGCAAGGGCACTTCAATTAACTATCAATATACTCACGCACACACCCACACACACACATTTTTCTTTATAAATATGTGTGTCATATCTTGCCTTAACTATTTCTTTGAAGAAGTTAAATCAAAAATTTGAGGTTAGTGCAAGAGTTGCAAGAGATTACCAGAGAGATAATCAAAGGAATTGAAAACAATAGAAATCTTACTAAACAGGAGGTCGATTTGACCTGTCCAACCATTGGATTAATTGTAACGGCAGCTGTAGGCTTTGCAGGCACTCTCTTTTATGGCGCCTCCAAGGACAAACTGTCCTCGGCAGTGCAAGTGCAGCCGTGACCGCTTTAAGAGGGAGAAATTCGAACCATTTAAATGAACTTTTGGCTGTTAGGGAGGATATGGTCGAAAGATTTGAACAGATGGGAAATGGTGGATCCAATGATCGAGACACTAGAGAACCAACTCCAATGCTCGCTTTGCCAGAAAATTGATTTGACGGAGGGCAATTAAACATAAGACAATGCAAAATGTAATGAAGTTAAGCTTTGTCTTATCAGTGCCAAGCTAAAGACGTTTTGTATTGATTTATGTGAAAAAATGATTCAATTTTTTATATTTTTTATTTATATTTTTTTGAGTGATTAAATCTTATCTTTTCTCTAATTGTTACGTAATTTACCGAAGGCTTAAAGATATATCTTATTACTATCTTATCATATTTGATGAATTACGGGTAAGATAATATGAGAACTTTCAATAAAGAATGATATTTTATTATCCAATTTGAAACACGTGCTTGAAAAAATGCAATCAAAGATATATATATATATATATATATATATATATACACATACATACAAACACACATACATACACACAAACAAACACACATATATACATACATATATACATACAAATATCAAATATACATTCGTCCAAACATTGATAATAATACAAACACACATACACACACACACACACACACACACACACACTAAATACACACATCTGTAAACGGTTAACAAAAACAGCTAACAAACATCATTCAGTTTAGAAAGTTTAAAAAATAAAATCATCGATAAAAAATCAGTCAATCAATTAATTTTCACTCAATCAATCGATCAATCAACCAATTAATTAATTATTAATTAATTTATTTATAAAAAAAAGCACTAAAAAAATCCTTTTTTCTAATCATTTTTAATAGGAGAAAAAAATGTTTCACTAAACCAAAATATGGTCTGACTATGTTAATGTAGTTGACTATATAAGTAAATATATCATTATCAACTTAAATGCACTTTTAAGAACAGTATAAATAGATATATATATATATTTATTTATTTTTTTATATATTAAAAATATGCTCACAGATAGAAAGGAAGAACGAATGAACGAATGGATAATAATTAAAATACTGATTCGTAAAAATTATGTATATTATTATGTAAAAATTGTACGATTACATATATATGTATATATATACAATAACATTATATATATATATATATATATATATATATATGTATATATATATATATATATATATATATAATTTCTACAATAACATTCAAGACACATTCAACATCCTAGCCAATTTACTTTTAAGGAATCTAATCACCATCAAAGAATCCAACAGAAACCTGCTTTCACTCAAAGCAGCTACAATTGTCAAACAACACGTGTGCCAACCAACATTGCTAACTGTACCCTCCTTCATTCTACACCATCAGTTTGGAACTCATTATCAGATCATATTTTAACTTGTTTTTCACAGGCTAATTTCAAAATAATACTAAAAACTTAATTTTTTACAGTTTGTTATAATCGCTAATAACATGTAAACAACATTACATCTAAATGTTTGGCTTTATATATAATTTTCATTTTTATATCATATGTTGCACTAGCTTGTCTAATATAGAGGGCTTTAGTCGCCTGTCTTTAGTGCTATATAAGTTGTTATTATTATTATTATTGTTATTATTGTTATTATATATATATATATATATATATGTGTGTGTGTGTGTGTGTGTGTGTGTGTGTGTGTGTGTGTGTGTGTGTGTGTGTGTACAAAAATTATCATGATACAAAAAATAATTTATCTAAAGGAAGATACAAAGAATGATATGTTCAGGTGTTCAGTTCACAGTTACACATTAGGTATCAAAAAAATTCATACAAACATACATACATGCATACAAACATACAAATATACATACAAACTGTTAGTGTCACATGTTAACGTCATTAAAATGTATAGATGAAATACATACATACACACATGTTCACACATATACATTAATAGGCAAGATTATATAAAAAGGTTTATAGAAACACACTAGCATACAAACAAACATGCAAACATACAAACAAACAAACAAACAAACATACTTAATCACTAACACACAAAGTTGTTTAACACGTCTTATGAACATCATAGAAATAGTGGCAAAAATATGTAAAGTAAAAAAATACATTTGCGATAATATAGAAAAGAATCTTTGTTTTAAAATTTATCTCATATATATATATATATATATACAGTAAATCAATTAATTAATCAATCAATCAACCAATCAATCAATCAACCAATCAATCAATCAATCAATTAAACTTCAACGATTTCTTTCTCCTGGTGATCAAATTTTCACCACCTTCATCTCTACCACTACCACTGCTATCCTTCGTCCTGCGATCGCCAACACACAAACTGATGAAGCTGCCGTCATTGTAGCTACGATCGTCGCCACCACTAACATTACCATAAGCACTGTTACCACTGCCACTACCAAAATAACCCCCACCACCAGTAGTAGTAGTAGTAGTGCTAGTAGTAGTAGTAGTAGCAGTGGCAACAGATTCTTCGTCTTCTTCATTCCAAGACATTAACTCCACATCATATTGCTGTTGTTGTTGTTGTTGCTGGTAATGGTGGAAATCGCCGATGCAGCCAGTGGCGTTACTTCCATCGCTGCCTCCCCCAAGAAGCTCGCAGTGGATCGACCTCCTCATCATTTTCTTCCTCCTCAGTGATGACGCCATTGATGATGACGTAAATGGTTGTGGCTGCGGTGGACGCTGTGGACCTGGTGGTAGTTGTGGCTGGTTTCGTCGCGTTCTTTTGATCATCTGGTAGGTTGAAGATCATTGAAAAGTGAAGAGTGATTTTTATTTTCACTATGGAATCAACTAGAAGCAAGCAAACAACTCCAGTTGAATTGAAACTACATTAACCAATAAATCAACATTCACAACTCAATAAACAAACACACCACACACACACACACACACACATACACATAAACAAACACACACAAAAAAACACACACATAACCAAACCTTCTCATCACACATACACAAACACACACACAAACAAACAAACACACATAAACAAACCTTCTCATCAATAGCTTTATCCCCAGCAGACCAGGATTTCGACTTATTTTTGAAATGCCTGAGTTCGTGTGCGTGGTCTGCATGGTCCATGGGTTTGTACCTCTGGGGCTCGCATAGGTGGGGGTAGGCTTCATAGAAGGCCTTGTACCCCCCATCCAGAAGGTAAATTTCGGGGTAGTAAAGTTGCGGGTAGGTCATTATATGGGCCTCTCTATCTCTGCTTCTCAAGTGCTGAAGTCTGTTTTGCATGTGTGTGTGTGTATGCGTGCGTGCGTGTGTGTGTGTATGTATGTATGTATGTATGTATGTATGTATTAATAATAACAATAAAAATAATAATAACAATAAAGAAGCAAACAAACAATCTAGGTCCTCGCTCTGACGAGAACTCGCAGTGGAAGATGAGGACCGACTTCCTAGAATCCTTCTCATCATTGTCGTCATTAAAAATATTATTATTGTTATTATTATTATTATTGTTATTATTATTATTGTTATTATTATTAGTAGTAGTGGCTGTAGTAGTAGTAGTAGTAGTAGTAGTAGTAGTAGTAGTAGTAGTAGTAGTAGTAGTAACACTGTTGTTGTTGTTAGGAATATTAGTGAAGTATGTAATGTTTTTGCTGTTATTATTACTATTGTTTTTGTTGTTGTTGTTGGACCTGCTGTTGATGAAGACTTCGTTTATCCCCTCTCTCGTGTAAATGTTTATAGCATTCTGGAAACGAGTTGAATAAATTGAATGAATGAAGGAATGAATGAATGAGTGAATGACTGAATGAATGAGTGCATGAATGAATGAATGAATAAATGAATGGATGAATGAATGAATGAATGAATGAATGAATGAATGAATAAATAGATGAATGATAGAACGAACGAACAAACAACGAACGAACGAACGAACAAACGAACAAAAGACAAAAAGATACCTTAATGTGGCCGCCGTGATACTCGTATGGATATCTGCAGTCGATGATGGCACACTTGGATACCTGGTCATCGTACTGACCAATCAGAAGATCGTGCATCTATGATGATGATGATGATGAATATGGTGATGATGATGATGATGATGAAGATAGTGATGATGATGGTGATGAAGATAGTGATGATGATGATGATGAAGATAGTGATGATGATGGTGAAGATAGTGGTGATGATGATAAATATGATGGTGATGATGATAATGATGGTGATGATGATGGTGACGAAAGTGACGTTGGCGATGACGTCATATGAGTAGCTGATGTTGTAGGTGATAAAATGATGAGAAATGATGAGAAAAATAAGACAGACAGAGACACAAACCCCAACAACATCAACCTCAACAACATCACCCTCAACAACAACATCAAAAACATCAACAACAACATCAAAAAAAACATCAACAACAACAATAGCAACAACAACAACAGCAACAACAACACACACACACCAACAAACCGTATGTACGGATATGGAATTACAATCGGCCCTCTTGCCATTAAACAAGGGCAAGGTCATTTTCTGATGGGCGAACTCGTCTGCTAGATAGCTCTCCACGTGTTGAATGTCAAGGACGGAATCCTCAACTATACTATTGATATTTCGTTTCGATTTCAAAACAGTGTTGTCAGAATTCCATCGCTGATAAATGGACGAACGTTTTTTGACGTTGTTGTTGTTGCTGTTGTTGTTGCTGTTGTTGCTGCTGCTGTCGTTGTTGTTGTTGAATCTTTTAAATGTTGTCGTTAATGTTTTAGAGAGTGTTTCGGCTGTCGGTGTCGATGTTGTGTTGTTGTTGCTGTTGATGTTGTTGTCGCTATTGATACTGTTGTTAAAAGTGTTGTTGTTGTTGCTGCAGTCGCTAATGTTGAAGAAGTTATTACAATCGATGTTCTTGCTACCTTCACCGTCGTCACCGTACTGTTCGCAATCCATCATCATCACTTCGTTGTCGTCATAATCGTCGTCACCCTCATCATCATCATCATCATCTTCTGCATCATCTTCTGCTTCATCATCATCACCATCATGGTCGTCGTTATAACCCTCGCAATCATCATCAGCACAATTATCAGCAGCGTCATCATTATCATCGTAACCACCGCCGCCATCGTTATCATCCCCATTGTAGTCGTCGTCGTTGTCGCCACCACCGCCGCCACCATCTTCAAATTGCTTCGTCCGAGCTCCCTGGCTGTTCATCCGTTGGCGTTTGTGGTCGGTTGGTGATGTAAAATGACTAGAGAGTGGATGCTGACGATGATGACGACGATTAAGATGGTGATGATGGTTAGGATTAAGTAGAAGATCAGGATCCGGATCGAGTGGAAAATCCGGATTATATGATGAGGACGATTTTTGGGAGATAGATTGATCGAAGTAGGGGGAGGAATTATTCCGAGGTAAAGGAATAAAAATATGCGAATTATTATTATTATTATTATTATTATTATTATTATTATTGTTATTATTAGAGAGAGACAGAGGAAAATGGAAAGCGGAAGAGAGGAGATAAGGTTGTTTGTGGGGAGGTGATGGTGGTGGGCTGCCCAGTGGTTTGACGCCTATGCTCTCGAAGTCTATATAATCTGACGTTCTTTTCGTTTTTTTAACGGGAGATGTGGTTTTGTTGTTGTCGCTGGTGGTGACGATGGCGTTTTTTTGGTTGTTGTTGAAGCTTCTGCAGCTGTGGTTGTTGTTCTGATCATAAAAAATCTTGCCAAACTGGCTACAGTTGCAGTAGAAGTTCTCTTTATTAGCACCGATGTCGTCGTTGTCGTTGTTGTTGAAGTCGACGTTTTTGCAGCTGGTGTCGCCGCTGCAAGTGAAGTAGTTGTTGTTTAGGTTTATTTTGCTGCTAAAGTCTCTGTAATAATCCGGCGAATTTAGTACTTTCATAATTTGAAAATTTGTCAATGGCAGATTCTGCCCGATTGATAAATTTTCCCCAAAACTATTACTATTATCTTTATTATTATTATTTTTATTATTATTATTATTACTGTTGTTGTTGTTATTGTTGTTGTTGTTCTTTTGGTGGGGTTTAGCTGATGTAAACGTAGACGGAGATGACGAAGAAGAAGAAGAGGTCGATAATGGAAGTTTGTATGGGTTTATAACTTCTCGAGATTTAAAACTCTGCATTTGGATGTCATTACAACAACGGCATCAACAAGACATCAACAGCATCACCATAGCAAGTAACACAGAGCGATATAGATACTCAAAATATGACATTTTCATTTTCATGTATTCACTCAACTCTTTACTAATGAACTGTCTATGATGCTGATTCAAAAAGTGCCAAAAATCTAATGAAAGCTTTGCAAAAAGTTATATAAATTTCACGTAAGCAATATAAATTCAATTATCTTTTTTCCAACAACCAAACGGTTAGCTCATATCAAGCCAGCAAACAAACAAACAAACAAACAAACAAACAAACAAACAAACGAACGAATTAAGAACATACACATGAAGTTAGTATAACCGTGTGAAAAATGTTTGTACCACACCTAAGAATACAACGAAAAACCTTAAAAATGAAAAAATATCTAAAAACACATCAACCACAAGTTGAAAAAATACAAAAATACTTAAATACAAAAGCCCTTAAAGATAATACCGAAATGCCCTTATACAACAATGTACTAACGAACGATCCTTTGGTTTCGAAGTTGTTGTTGTTGATGTTGTTGTTGTTGCTGCTGCTGCTGATGTTGTTGATGCGGTTGTTGTTGTTGCGGTTGTTGATGTTGTTGTATTTTCTAAGAGTCACACTCGTAAAACTGCGCTTAAATCTAGGCCTTGAAAGAAATTTTCAACAAATTTCATTTTAGACTTAATTGAAATTCATTTGAAAATTAATTGAATTAATTTTATTTAAATATTTAAATATCTTCATAAAAGTTGATACACTCATGATACACACAAACAAACAAACACACACACACACATACATACAAACACACACAAAAACATATACACACACATACATACAAACAACATACACATACATACGTATGCCTAAATGATTTGAGAAAACCACATGTTGTATAGCCAATGATGTTAATGATAAAGCCCATAAAAAAAAGCCCATTAGAAGCATTATCAAACGAACAAAGTTTAAAAAAAGGTTAAAAGTCTCTGGTCTTATGTCACGGTGACCTTGTTCGAATACACAAAGATTTCTATCCATCATGCGTAAAATTGGAATCGGCAGAAAGGTACAAACCAAACATCGGATAGTTTAAACAACATCAATATCACGTAACATCATGATATCAATTTAGGATCATCACACTAACCAGAAGATATCACATCCACCATAACATCATCACATCCATCTACACGTCATCATAGCATCAAAATGACACTAGATAGAGTTAGCGAAACTTTCCCAAAAGGAAAAAACCCCACCAGATTCCATTAATCCAGAAATCACACTAAATCACCTTAAACTTCGATTCCAGTAAATACATTATACGATTATATCACATTAAAACTACATCAAGAACATCAATTAATTACATTAACTAAAATTCTACACCTTACATACAATTAAATGTCAATTAAAAATTACAATTAGTGTATATCATAATAAATACATACATTACACAGAGAAATTACATTCGTTACAACAATACATTACAAACACAGCCCTAATGCATTAAATACAAATTGCATACAGATATAATTTCATTAATAATAATTACGCTAAATACATCAGTAGCATTAATTAACCTTGCTGATCGGGTCACATTAACAAATAGCCTAGAAACATCATCATCACATCAAAGCGGTGTTGATGGTGTTAATTAATTAATTCATTCACTCATTCATTCGTTCAGCCTTTTCACTCGCTCTTTCATTCATTGATTGAATGAGTTTAAAACGTGATAGATAAAAGAGATTTTGTTTGTATGTATGTTTGTTTGTTTGATTGTATGTTTGTTTGTTTGAATGTTTGTTTGATTGTATGTGATGGGTGTATGCTTATGAATAAATTGTTTTTTTTATTTGATTTTTTTTGTGTATATGTGTGTATGTGTGCTTTTGTGTATGTGTGTGTATGAAATTGTATGTGTATGCTTGTACATTTGTATTTGTCCATATGTGTTTGAACATTTATGTTTGTATGTATGTTTGTTTGTCTGTTGGCAGGTGTTTTTATGTATGTTTGTTGGTTTGTATGCTTGTACATTTGTGTTTGTATGTATCTGTTGGTCTGTATAATTGTTTGTATGTAAACAGATGTTTTTGTGTGTGTTTGTGGGTGTGTATATATATATGTGTGTGTGTGTATGTGTGTTTGTGTGCGTGTGTGTGTGTGAATAATTAACCTTTCACGCTTATTTTAATCCTTCTAATTGTGGAAGCAATGATTCGTGGATGGAGAGATTGATGAAAAAATGAATGAAGCAGTGAATGGACGGACGAATGAATGAATGGATGAATGGTGAATGAATGAATGAAACAATGAACAAAGAAATGGATGAATGAATGAATACAGGAATGAATGATGAACGAACGAACGAATGAATGAATGAATGAATGAATGAATGAATGAATGAATGAATGAATGAATGAATGAATGAATGAATGAATGAATGAATGAATGGAATAAATGATTAAATGTATGTGTAAACATTTGATAATAAAAAACGGGAAACAAGCAAACAAACAAGCGAACATACAAACAAAGAAAACAAACAAACATACAAACAAACAAACATATACACATATATTCACACATACAAACTTACAGATAAATTGACAAACAAGAAAAACCATACAAGCACACATACTCATACATCTAATGTTTATTTATTTATTTATTTATATTATAAGCCAACATGCAAACATACATATACTGTAACTGGGAAACATACTCATACAGCCACAAACTACTACAACCATACATACAAACAAACATATTGAGCCAAAACAACATACATCTACAACAAAAATACATACGTACAATACAAAAATATACAATACAAAAACATACAATACAAAGACATACAATACAAAGACATACAAACCATATGAACTTAACTAACATATCCAGTGCAGACGAAACAATACATACGAATTAAGAACAAAAATACAACTTAATTAAACGTTTAATTAATTAATTAATTAACTAATTAATTACTAAACTTAACCATCGAAAATCTTCAGTTAATTTTCTTTAATTTCGATAGAAGCCTCAACAAACTAAGCGCCTTTGAAAGTTAGACATCCGATAAAGACCAGAATCTAAACACAAATAAGCGTTTATATAGGTACTACATATTTGTATATATCTACTATATGTATATGTATATCTTTCATATATATCTTTAATTTAATGCATTTGATATCTTATAATACCTAAAGAATACCTTAAATTAAATACACTCATACATTTATATATATATATATATATATATATATATATATATATATATATATATGTGTGTGTGTGTGTGTGTGTGTGTGTACATGTATGTATGTATATATATACAAATATATATGTATGTATATATACAAATATGCCTGTATATATACAAATATGTACACGTATATACAATACATATACAATGGCAGTCAATCAAACATACAAGCTAAAACAAGTTATGAATATTTCTATATAAAATATGGCAATAATAATTTATCTATAAAAAAGTACATATATGTGTGTACATAGCATATATGTAAATAACATACATATATACATGTATAGACGTATGTTTGGTTATATGTATACATATGTATGCATATGTATGTATGTTTATATGTATGTATATGTATGTTTAGACCTAAATATATATAAACTAACTCATCATCCAAATATGGCATTACAAAACCAGCCTATAAGAGAGCGAGTTTGAGATAAAGATGTTTTTGTATGCTCACATGCTGACCAATAGGAGACGAGAACTTTTTGGTATATATATATATATATATATATACAATACATTACAATACAATACATACAATACAACTAGTATATATGAAGCAATATATTGAAAACTTGTATATATAACTTATGTTATACAATGACTGTTATATGGTGTTTAGACATATATGAACTATATATAGGCTATACATTATGTATGTCATATATAATTGTTATACGATATATAGAAATGTATATAAAGTATATAAGGCTATATAAAATATAGAACATTATATGTATTTTTGTATATATTTGTATGTATACAAATCATATAAAAGACTATAAAAAGGTATGACATACATATCTGTTATGTAATATATAGAATTTTATGGTGTGATATAATAACTGGAGCTAGAATTTTTATTGAAGGTCCAATTGAAGTGTAATAAAAATTATAACTTTGCAGGCACACAAACACACACACACAAACAAACACACGTGCATTCATACATGCTCACACATACTCACGTACATACAAATGTGCCGTAAGTTCACTTTACGTAATGTTGAGGTTAATGCACGTACGGATACCTACTTAAACGTACGGAATTCAATATTTCATGTGTGTGTGTGTGTGTGTGTGTGTGTGACTTTATTTTTCATCTTTTTGTTTCTCTTTCTTTCTTTCTTTCTTTTTTTTCTTTCTTTTTTTCTATCTTTCTTTCTGTCCCTTGCTGTCTATGTCTGTGAGTTTGTATGTGAATATATGTACTTGTGTGCGTGCATTTGTGTGTACGTGCATTTGTGTGTACGTGCAATGTTGCTTGTCTTTTTGTTTTTCTCTTTCCGTCTGTTTTTCTCTGCCTCTCTCTCTCTCTCTCTCGCTCTCTTTCTCTTTATTTTTTATCTCTCTTTCTGTCTATGTTTGTGTGTATGTATGTATGTATGTATGTATGTAATAATTCTTAATGTGTGTGTTTGTCTTTGTATGTATGTACATTGTACGTGTATGTGTGTGTGTGTGTTATATTTTCCTATCTATAGTTAGTAAATCACGATGTTAGTAAAAAGAAGGATGTGTGTGTGTGTGTGTGTGTGTGCGTGCGTGTGTGTGTGTGTTTCTGTGTGTGCGGGTGTACTAGAAGGATATAATAATAAAATAACTTTCACCATAAATATTACACCATGTTACATCATCGCAATAAAAAATACATACATACAAACCTACATACACACGCATCCAAACATACATCCAAACACACATACACACATACATACACGCATACATACAAACATACACAAACACACAAACATACACATTAATATTTCGTTTACCAATCTGTGTTATTCATGGTAATTAACAACAAGCAAATGTTTAGAATTTATTGACGAACAAATGACTTGCACCGCATTTGACACGTATATGTTTTGTATGTAATTTTTATTGTATGTTTGTTTGTATGTATGTTTGTATGCATGTTTGTTTGTTTGTATGTATGTATATTTATACGTATGCATGTATGTTTGTTTGTTTGTATGTATGTATGTTTGTATGTATTCATCTGGTATTTGTACATACAAACTGTATTTGTGTCTTTGTACGTATATTTTACCTTTTCTCTATCTCTTGATGTTTCTATGTTCTTTTCTATGTTTGTTGGGTATTTGTATCATAA